CATGGGAGTCTCCCCCGGGGTATTGCTCCATATTATCGATCCTTGGGTCATTCATACTAAAATAACTAGTCAAGAGTGTTCACTGTTAATTTTTATTGACTTAATAGTTGGGACCCGAAAGGGTAGTGTTCAGTAAGCAACTACCAGCTACTGGTTCATAGTCTAATATTGTTAATTTCTTTTCCAGTCCTGATGGCCAGTATGTGATATGTGGGTCTCATGATGGTAGTATTTTTGTTTGGAATGCAGCAACAGCAAAGCTAGACAAGATTCTTAAAGAACACAGGTAAGCATTTGTTTCAAGTGTCTATCATAAGATGATTATAGTTTAGAATAGAATTTTTAATCAAAAGAGATTTGCTAAAACAAAGACGTGCAAAAATTTCTGGAAGATTTAATACTCATCGTTTCGGTGTCATCGTGACGCTATTACCAAGAGAAAATAAGTACAAGAAAGTGAATTTTTAAGTGGGCTAGAGCTGAAAATTAACATACTAATTAGATGGCTGAGCAAACACTTTAGTACCAATTGAAATTGTTTTTCTTGATAATACATCATGGTGACTCCAAAATGTGGAGTATTGATTTTAATCAATAATCAATATTCTTAAAGATAATTTTTAAAAAATCTTTAAGAATAGAATTTAAAATAGAAAATAGTATCATGATGTTTGACTGTCAAATTATTTATTAATTAAATCATGATACTTATTATATTCGTTACTTTTACAACAGTTCTTCAGTAGTCGTGTGTGCGTGGCACCCTGACGGCTCAAGCATCATCAGCTGTGATCGTAACAAGCATGCAATTATCTGGACAAACAGATACTAATTAAGCATTGGATGATGTGCTCTTCAATCAAAGAAGCAATTGCAAGCAAACACCACTTGTATGCATGGTTACAACAAGAATTATTAGTCATAAATAACAGTCTTATGTAAGTTAAGATGTCTAGTTTAAGATTGCAATCTTTTGGCAATGTAATGTTGTTTTAGATCTAACAGAAAATTAAAATAATTTAAGACAGTTTTTAGAAAAGAAGGGTTTGCATTAGGTATTTTGTTGTAAGAAATTATTTTTTGTGCATATTAGAGAAAATGTCTCTTAAAGTGCAGCCAAAAAATCAATAAATAAATGACACAAGTCTTGATATTTTCTTGAATAAACAACCCCCAGCCAGGTCAATAATAATTTTTGCTCTGTTAATATAATAATATTGAGATGATGTAATTTAAAATGAAAACTTACCCCTTTCTCTAAAAGCAGGCTGAAGAAATTATTTTAGGTTTACTCCAAGTATAATATTATCTCAGAATTGAAATAAGTGCCTGGTTGTTTAATCAAGGAAATATTTTCAGCATTATTCCTGATATATACAGTATTATTATATATGGCAAGGTAGTCTTGATTGGTTCTTTCTTGGTCGGGATTTTGCCATATGGACCGTTCCATTGAAACGGTCGTAAGCTGTGTATTTGTTGTTTTCGAAAGCCAGCAAATTCAAAACAAGCATGGCCCTAGTGCCATATAATAAACTACTTACTAGCCTAGCTTGTTCAAAAGGCAATTGACATTATTCCAGGGTTAAAACTTGATAATTTGAGCTCTAAGTTTCTTATGCATAAGCATGGCCAATGTTGTATGGAACTTGAGATTGGTTGATGTCAAAACTGGAGAACAGAAAATATAAACAGGAAACCTCACTGAACTGTTAGAAAACTGTAATCGAAATTCGCACTTCTGGATTGGCATAATCATCATTGAACAACCAAGCCCAGACCTGAAACATTCAGGATACTCGCAAAAATTTTTACAAGTACAGTGGAACCCTGTTAATCTGGTCACCAACAGGCCGTATTAATGGCCATATTAATTAAAAAGGTTCTTTAGCTAAGAAAATGACTAACTGAGCTTTTGTTCAGGCTGGAAGAAAGTGGCCATAATAACGAGGTGGCCATTTTAATGGGGTGGCCATAAGACAGTGTTTCACTGTATCAGTTATTCAGAATCCTCCAGAACCCAAGGATTGGGTGGGGATGGTAGAGGGGGTACTTCAGGAAAAAACTGACTGGGAGGTGAGGGGGACTTTTTTAACATTGACATATTTTGCAACTATTTTGGAGATTGTTGTAGTACATCCCTAAATTTTCTTTGATAATTTTTGAGAAGTCAAGTTCTTGTGGATTCTATGTAATCATACTTATCATAGAGCCTTAATTGGCATAATTATAATACATAATATTGCAAAAGAACCTTTTTCATTTTGATAGCTTTTAAACATCGGGAACTGTACAATTTACAGTCATTTGAGGGGTGTCCATTTTTGTCTAATAAGCTCCTTTTGGGGTTTTATTCGTTACCTTCCTATCACCTTCTTCTAACAATACCCCCGGAAGCGCAAAATTGTTAATGTAAAGACAAAGGTTAAGAGTGAACGAAAATAGTTTGTTTCTTTTCAAACTTTCAGGAATCAAAGTTTGCCTAGTGAATCTTTAAATCCCAATATCTCCTCACTGGTGTCATGTTTTTGTCACAGTAGTCAAGCTTAGGAGAGTTTTGATTTGCTGCTGTTGCTATTAACAAAGTACTTTCCAGCATATCCTGGTCAAACAGACAGCCTGTTGCCACAAGACAGGGAAAATGTTATGAAGTGCAGTATCTATTTTAGCAGAAGTCTACTTTTCTTGTCAAAGTCAGGGAAATTTAGGACACTGTAGATTTTGATAACTAAGTGCTGTTGATAGAAAATTGTTGTGCAAAAAAAAAAATTCTGCAGAATAAGTTGATAAAAGCATATTTGAAGTATTAGTTGGCCATTTTTTATTTGATCAGTTTTATGGTCAGAGAAAAGTCAGCCAAGGAATTTTGGTTTTTCTCGTGGGTGGCCAAGCTGTTTAGTTAAAATGAAGTAATTTAATCATTATCAAAATCACACTTGTCTAATAGTTTCCATTGTGGGAGCATTTTGAGTAAAATAATAAACCTGGTCATTAGAACACAACGTTTAGGTTAAAAAAACACAAAGCAATTTTTCAAACCATGTTTTTACCAAGCCCTGTGTGTAAAGTTAATGAAATGTTCGTATGGAGAAGCAGTGGAATGAAAATTGAATTGAAATCAGTCAACAAGTCCAAAAATTATTTTATTACCTGGGGTTTTGTGGTGTTGCTATGGTGTTTCATCATGATTTTAATGAGTGGTTTTAGGAGATTTACCCAGTAGAGAGGCTTTTTAAAATAGTTAATTTGGATTTCAATAACTTTTGCAGTTCCAGTTCTCCATGCAAACATGACACTTTGGTCTCTTATGAATGTAGTGTGCTTCAAAAAAGGGAAGTGACTTATGCTTTCTGTTGTTATTAATTTTGCTGCAGTGAGCTGTGCTTGCTATAGATTGCTGCTGTTTATTCTTGTAAGACTCAACCAGCTTGTAACACTTGTAAATACAACTCAAACTTACTTTATACAAG